ATGTACAGCACGCATGTGTGGGGAGCGGTAGTGTCGCGGTTAGCGCGCTTGGCTACGAATCTGGCCATCGGAGTTCGATTCCGGTGACGATTATCTAAACCGGTCCTGGGCCTTCCCTCGATCGACTCAGTCTCAAATGAGTACCCGGTGCGGTGTGTAAACATCGCCACCGGGGAGACAAAGACGGTCGAGCGTGGTGCTGGCCACCCACCCCCTCATGTGGCGTGCCGGCCTTCATAGGTCCTCGCTAATGGCACTTGCCCCAGCGGTCTTTTAAGGCTACACGGGTGATCTTTGTCTTTTGTTTGTTTGCAATGGCTAGTGCACTGCCCAACGAGGCTGACATCCCGAGTTCAATCTTTGCCTTTTTGTGCGCGCGTCACTCTGCGTGAGTGGCATTGGGACCATCGCGTGGCGTGCGTGCCGGATGCGCGTGACTGCAGGGACATCTCGACACGGTTGATTTTTCGATGGACCCGACCGGCCGTGGCGCGGGTGTAGCTCGTCGCTATTGCCGTCGTCATCACCACCGCCGAGCCACGCGCCCCGGCCTCGTCCGCGTGCCAAACCCCCACCACCAACCCACCGCCCCTCGCCCCCCTGCCGGCACTCGTTTTGGTGAGAAATGCCCCGACTCAGCGATATCTCCTCCAGGCATTAACCGGGCGTCCCTCTCGACACGGTGGCCCTAATGGAGCCACGTTATGTAACTTTCCCCCTCCTTGCATAATGCACGCGCCTTTTGCACGGTTACGCAACGCGTCGTGCGGCTTCACGCTCGCGCGCGGTTATACACAACGGCGCTAGCCCGGACGATCGTTGTGATATCGCGGGCATCCTTTTTTGGGCCGCGTGAGTCTTCGCTCGCGCGTTGTGTAAAAGGTTATGGGGCTGTGCGCGCACGTCGTCGCCATGTGTATGTAACATCTACAGTTTGGAGTTTATGGTTATTATTATTATTGTGTGGCTGCGTGATGTATTGTAGATTGACGCACAGCGGTGGCGCTGGTGTAAAGACGTTCATAATCCAACTCGGCTGACTCAGTAAAATTGAATGTATTATTGGATGTTTTCTCTGGGGTAATGAGCTTCCACGTGTCAGATGTTGCCCTGCGCCATTTTTGCCCAGTTTTGCCCACGGCTGTAATGCAGCCCTTTACGGGCTGATCACCAAACAGATTATAAAGAAACAACTCCCAAACTCCCCTGATGGTTTCGCGAGAAGGCCCAAGAGATGGAAGTACAGAAAGTGGATTTGTCATCCTCCTGCCCGTGCAGGTGTCTGCATCTTTCGGTGACGCGCCCCAGCTGTAGTGCGTTCGCCTTTCATGGTAGAGGTTTGCGGTTCGAATCCGCGGCCGCCCTAGTTATCTCAGCGGGCGTTAAAGATCCCTTGGTGTCTTTCGAAAGAGTAGGCCATTGTGTGCCGGCGTCGGTGTTCAAAGTCCCTCCCCCAGCTATTGAACTGCGGTATTGTACGTTCGAAAACTCACTTCTTTCGAACTGCTTTTTGTGTTTAGTTTGTTGTCCTTCCCCCGGGCCTCCGGTTAGCACGGTTGGCGACGTACGGTGTGAAAGAAGTCCTTCAACATGCATACGTACGTATAAAATTAGGACATTACGCCGCACATTACTCAGTTTGGATTATACGTGGCAATCAGAATCATTATATTTATACCAGAGGAATCTGATGATCCTCAATGATGTCAAGTCGACTAGATAATCATCTGCTGTCAGACAAATGCCCTAGGTCACTCTTGTGAATGAGGCTCATCATGGACTCTTGAGTTCTCTCCTGATTCAGCAAAATATACCTGAAACTTGAATGGCTTTTGGCCTTTGTCAATCCACTGTTGTATGAAGGCCCTCCCAGGCCATTTGAGGTCATTGGAGTTGTCTCACCATACTTCACCATGCTGGTCAGTGTGGGTTGGCGGAAGAAGGGGCCCAGGACTGGTTCAGATGTCACTCGCCGCTTATGGCCGGAATCGACTCAACCTTTTAGGTTCATAGCGCAGTGCGATAACCACTGCACCACAGCTCCACTTTCATCATTGTTTCTAATGTAAGCGCTCGGATTAAAAGAGCTCCTGACGGTGAGAGAGATCCACCACTCGCACGTGACACCAGCACGGCGTGGTCAACCCTGGCTCCTGTTGTCACATTGTAAGCATCGTCGTTATCATCAGCCGCGATCAATCGACTGCTGGATGGAGGCCTCCCAAAGCTGTCGGCGATAACCGCCCTCTGCGACGGGACAATCCGCTTGGCACCTGCGCACGATTCCATCGCTCCCATCCCTTCTGCGGACGCGACGAAATTGGAAGCAGCGTCAGAGGATGTTTAATGTCCGCGCTAATTAACGGATGGAGCAATTCACCTTGCTCCCCCACCACCCCCCGCCGTCCCTCGTTATTGATGAGCCACTTCTCGGATTCACCGCGACAAAAATAACAACGGGAATAATTATAACGTGGAGGAGGCATGCAAAAAAAGAACCAGACCAGAGTAATTAAAATTAATGCCACCCGACCTTCAACTTAACGGCACAAAATCCGCACATTACGCTCGGTTGGGGACGATTTGCGCGGGGAGCGGAGGTGCATTAAGAGTGAATTACGTCGGTTGGCGGAGCGTGGGACAAACTTCTGTCTCCCTGGCATTGTTTACCGATGGAGATAAACGCGTGACCTTTATGTCCAGGTAATGGCCCCCTGAGATGATAGGGATCGCCTGTTATTGTAGGCGAGACCCAGTTTCACATAAGAGCGGTAGCACGTCGCATATCCAACTCTTCGCATATCCGCCCGGGCCAATTAACTGCCCACACCCAGTGGAGTGGCCTCCTCCTCCTCGGCAGGCCCCGACGAGCAGGCGAACGTCGCTTCTCTGTCATGGCGTGGCTCTCCTGGGGTTCACCCCCTCCGTAGGCTAATGCCCATAGACTCACACAGAGACCCATAGACTCACACAGAGACCCATAGGCTCACACAGAGACCCATAGACTCACACACAGACCCATAGACTCACACAGAGACCCATAGGCTCACACAGAGACCCATAGACTCACACAGAGACCCATAGACTCACACAGAGACCCATAGACTCACACAGAGACCCATAGACTCACACAGAGACACATAGACTCACACAGAGACCCAGTGACTCACACAGAGACCCATAGACTCACGCAGAGACCCATAGACTTACACAGAGACACATAAACTCACGCAGAGATCCATAGACTCACACAGAGACACATAGACTCACACAGAGACGCAAAGACTCACGCACAGGCCCATATACTCACACAGAGACCCATAGGCTCACACAGAGACCCATACACTCACACACAGGCCCTGTCGCAGCTCCACTCCCTCCTCTCTCACCGCCGCCTTATGTCGGCATTTGTGCCATCCCCTTCTGTCAGAATCTTAATGCATTACTCTCCCGCACCTCTGAACGTCATTTAAAGTTCAATTTGTGCACGTTACAAATTTGATAACGAATGGATTAGTGTTTCTGCATGCTGTGTCTGCCATTTTCTACCGTGACGTTTGGGTAATCTCACGTACATTCGCTCGCGCTTGTAAAGTACAGAGGAGCGTAGTCCCATGCTGCAAGCAGTGCGTGGTTTTCTTTTTAAATCCTTTATATTAAGTTCACTTGCTTGCTTGCTTGCGCGCTTACGACCGTGCAAATCTTTCAGTCGTTTTTTAACCCACTTCCCGTGATCCAATGGAGATGACATTTTGCACACAGACTCGTTGTGCGTGACAATTTATTTTCGTGAAATCTTTTTTTCCAAAATTTTCCACTTTTTAGGATTTTTTTTTTTCCTATTTAATTTAAAATACCAATGTGATAAAAATGAAACTCTTACTCAAGAAAAACAGAAATGAATAATAAAATAAAACCGATGCCACGCATATAAAGGATTTATAGTGAAAAACGTTGTTTTTACGGGTTAATTTATTTCCAGTCCAGCAATGGATTTACGCCTCCCTCGTTGGCAGGACGGGTGGGGCCAGAGGTCACACGAAGGGATCTCAGAGTTGGCTCCGTGATGTCCTCTTCTGCGGGCCCCTTCTCTGACGCGAAGGTGCCCGCAGCTGTTGCGCAAGAGTTCCGAATGCATTCCTCGGCTCGTGACGGTCGCACTGCTCGGATGAAGTTGTGGAAAAAGACGAATTGACAAAATGGGATTGTTATTCATTATCAAAGGGTGATTTATTGTCGCATCATCATCATCATCACCGCTTAACGATTATACTGCGCCTCCCATGCAGTACATCCCGATGTTCTCTGCAGCAGGGGACCCCCATTGGCAGCTATCCCTGTGTTGCACAAGCTGAGCGCAGTATCGGCCAGCCAAGTTGGCCTTATTCTGCGAGTTAGGGGTGGGCGATGTTACCGCGTGTCTTTGCAGTTAAGTTATTTACGAGCCATTGATCAAATATAGCAAATGTGGGCCGTGACTCCTGGCCCACTTGGCCCATTCCGGTTCAAATGACGTCACGCTATCTTGAACATCCACGGCGAAGCGAGCATAGGTGTGCTATATGGTGACGAGATGTTAACTCCCTTGCCTGGCATGCAGGAGGTCGTGCGTTGTATCCCAGCCCTGACGCCTGTATATTTGGAGTCTGCAAGTTCTCCCCGTGGTCGCGTGGATTTTTCTCCGAGTCCTCCGATTTTTTCCTCCACATTTAGAAGCAACGTGTGTTCAAGAGTATATGGCTGTGATACATTTCCACGTGTTAAGCGGCTTCGTTGAGCCATCATTTGTGGCCACGTCGCTTCCAAAAAAGAGCTACATAGCTCAGTGGGCCTTACCTGATAAAATAAAAATAGTTTTAGTTTCACACGCTACGGTTAACACCGATGGGGCTCGAGCCGACGGGTCGCCCGCAACGAACGGCAAACGTGCGACCACTCCGCCCACCTTCACCGCCCCGCCACGACCTGCCCGCCAGTTAACGCCGTTGCCCGCCCCGCAGGATTGGCTGGCGCCCGTGGTGCGGGCGGTGCGTGCCGCCGACTCCCCGGCTGAGCTGTACTCGCACCGGCCGTCGTTCGTGCGCTTCGTCTTCGCCCACGAGGATCTGGCCGCCCTGCTGGCGCCGCAGGTGCTGCGGTCGTGGCTGCGCCGCCTGCGTCCCACCCTCGCCGCTCGCCAGGCCGCAACCGCCTCCACCGAATTGACCGATTCCACCGCCTCCGTCGCTTCTGCCACCTCGAGGGCATCCGCTGCATCCTCGTCCTCCTCCGCCGCCGTTGCCGCCGTCCCGATGATCATCGGCTCCGGCTCGTCCATCCTGGAGGGCGGCACTGACAGAGGGATCGAGTTCCTGTCGGGGGCAGAGGCCATGGACGAGCGGAGTCACATGGCAGCGATGCTGGCGGTGTTGCAAAAGAGTTTGCACGCCGGCAGGGCCTTGCTGGTGCGTGACGCGACGTAACCTGGTCGATGCTCGTCAACCGTCTTGTTATTGTTCGATCCCCTCGGTCTGCTCGAGCAGTTGCTCGTGCTGCTGCTACATCAGTGTATTGCTCCTGCCTCCAAAACGTCTATCCCCTTCTGCTCTTCTGCTCATTTCCTGTTCTGTTTCCACCTCCCCTTGGTCCGTTCCTTGATGCTGCTGCATGTGCTGCTGCTGCTGCAACTCTGTTGATGAGCATTTCTGCCATATTTTTGCCTCACAAGTTTTGCGGTGTTTACTGACCGTATCAGTAACTCATTTTAGGCTGAGCTGATCTAGGGCAGGCCCAGAACCAGTTCTGATATTTGCCACTGATCTTAGCTGGAGCCTGAAATTGAACTCGGGTGCGGGGTTTGTAGCAAAGAGCGCTGACTAATACCGTGCAGATCGTTCCCTACAGACACACACAAAGATAAAGATCCCCTGTATAGCCTTTAACAGACTGTTGGGGCAAGTGGTGTTATCGAGCACCTATGAAGGCCTGCACAGCACACGAGGGGGTGGGTGGCCAGCACCACGCCTGACCGCCTTTGTCTCCCGAGTGGCAATGTTTACGTACCGCACCAGATAGTCATTTGAGGCCGAGTTTACCTAGGGGAGGCCCAGGAAATAGTTAAGATATAATCGTCACCGGTGTTGGCCATGAGCGGGAACCTAACTCGGGTCGCCAGGTTCGTAGCGCACACGCGCTGACCGCTAGACCACCGCACACCAAACCTTACGTACACACAGGCGCAGGCACGCGCACACACACACACAGTTGCACACAAACGCAGATACACACGGGCAGGACAGGTGCCATGAATCACACGTCGTCGAGCGTCCCTGATCGATTCACTTGTTGCACGCGGGTGACCCCGCGGCCCTTGCCCGCGCCTTGATTTGTCGATCGCTCGCTGGTTGTCGTTCGCTGCAAGCGCTGCTTGCCAGTGGTGCTCACGTTGCAGCCACGGGAGCGAGCGTTGGGCAGGGATCACACGGCGCCACGTTCTTGTGTCTCTCCGTATGTATGTTGAACCTTTTTACGCACCGTACATCGCCAGCCGTGCTTGTCGGAGGTATGTTGGAAGGACAACAAACTTAACACGAAAGGCAGTTTTAAAGAAAGGACTTTTCAATCGAGATTATTTAAAGGTGCATAGCTCCAGTGGCCTTTTGTTATGGGAAGGAAGAGCGTCCCAGACGGCCGCAGAATCGCATCCGAAAGCGCGCGATGCAGTGGCCATTTCTGTTCGATGGCCAGCCAAATGCCGCTGCGAGGATGACCGGAGTTCGTGTGATGGTTTACGTGTGATGGTTTACGTGTGATGGTTTACGTGTGATGGTTTACATGTGATGGTCTACGTGTGATGGTTTACGTGTGATGGTTTACGTGTGATGGTTTACTTGTGATGGTTTACGTGTGATGGTCTACGTGTGATGGTCTACGTGTGATGGTTTACGTGTGATGGTTTACGTGTGATGGTTTACGTGTGATGCTTAACGTGTGATGGTTTACGTGTGATGGTTTACGTGTGATGGATTACGTGCGATGGTTTACGTGCGATGGTTTACGTGTGATGGTTTACGTGTGATGGTTTACGTGTGATGGTTTACGTGTGATGGTTTACTTGTGATGGTTTACGTGTGATGGTTTACGTGTGATGATTTACCTGTGATGGTTTACATGTGATGGTTTACGTCCGATGGTTTACGTGCGATGGTTTACGTGCGATGGTTTACGTGCGATGGTTTACGTGCGATGGTTTACGTGCGATGGTTTACTTGTGATGGTTTACGTGTGATGGTTTACGTGTGATGGTTTACGTGTGATGGTTTACGTGTGATGGTTTACGTGTGATGGTTTACGTGTGATGGTTTACTTGTGATGGTTTACGTGTGATGGTTTACGTGTGATGGTTTACTTGTAATGGTTTACGTGTGATGGTTTACGTGTGATGGTTTACGTGTGTTATCAATCCCTGACCGTGAGCGACATTGACGGCAATGGGTGTCCTGAAGCCCGGCTGGTCAGACGCCAAGGCCGTCTCGGGCCGTGTCGGCCTTGGCTTCAGCTAATGGAGAGACAAAGGCGGTTGGATTTTGCGTGCCCTTGTTCTTCCACAACGTGCTGCAGCAGCAACCGTGCGTGAACCTAAATATACACGTGCGCGTGCGTGTGAAGTCTTGATTCTTTAACCAGGTAAGAACTCAACAGGGACGTGGGGGCGTTAGTCTTGATTGGTGATTGGCCAGTATGATTCAATTAGGCTGATTTGGACGCCGATGCCTGTTGGGATGCTCTTTCGAATGACGTCAGGGAATGTTTAATGTCCACTGTGAAGCAGACGGCGCTTAGTATTATTATTTATGGAGGTCATTACACCCGTAGTAATAATAAGAGTGGCCGTTGGATTTGAATCGTGAACCTCTGCAACAAGCGCCCGGAAAAGCTCCGGCTTTGTCTCGATTAGGGCGCTTCGCTACGAACCCGGCGACCTGAGTTAGATTCCTGCTCGTGGCCAACAGCAGTGACGATTATCTGAACCGATACTGGGCCTCCCCTAGTTCGACTCAGCCTCAAATGGGTACCTGGTGCAGTGTGTAAACATCGCCACTAGGGAGACGGTGGCAGCCAGGCGTGGTGCTGGCCACCCACCCCCTCGTGTGCCATGCCGGCCTTCATAGGTGCTCGCTAACAGCACTTGCCCTAACAGTCTGTTCAGGCTATACGGGGGATCTTTGGTGTAGTGGTTTTCACGCCGCACCATGAACCCGACCATCTGGTTTTGATTCTTGACCATGGTTAACATGAGTTGCGATGATCTATTATCTGTGCCTGGGGCTTCCTTTAGGTCGACTCAGAGTGCCTTCACAGGCACTCGCTGACGGCACTTGCCCCAACGGCCTGCGAGAGACGACCCGGGGACTCTTCGTTTCTAACGCGCGTGCGTGTGTGCGTCTGTGCGCGCGTGTGTGCGGTCGCAGAAGCTGGTGTGCAACGGTGAGCGCGGCGAGGCGGAGAGAGCCCTGAGCCTCACGCGGCGGTGGGCGTGCGCCGCCGCGTGCCGCTCACCCACGCTGCTGCTGCTGTGCTCCTCGCTCCCCGACGTCCTGCAGCGAGCCGCGCATGGAGGTGGTCGCTCGCACGCATGCACGCTCGCACGCACGCTCGCTCGCTCACCACCCGCAGCTCGCCTCCCAGAGCTCGCCGCTCCCACCGCCGCTCGCGAAGCAACGAACGCAGAGCCGCGAGCGTCGACGGTCACCGTCCGCCGTCTCCGAGAGTTTTCTTCGCCCCCCCCTCCCCTCCGCGGACATACGGACGGACAGAGTTGTTGTCTTTCCCCCTCGGTTACAAACTACGAATCGTTTCAGACAAAAAAACATTTCCGGATGTGTATAAACGGCTGAGTTGCTCACCGCTCACTGCTCACACCGTTTCAACGCCTACCGCGTGCCGCCTAACCGTTCACTGCTCACCACCACCCACGGCTGACCGCTCTCAACGCTCACCCATCATTGCTCGTGAAACAGTGGACACGGAATCATGGGCAGCACCCACACGGGGGGAGGGTTGAGCAGAGGGCTGCAGTTTGCTCACCGCTACACGGCGGCACTGGGCCTCACTCATCGAGAGAACAAAGTTGGAAATAACTTTTACAAAGTCTGCCTTTGCTTGCATTAACGAACATTTGCATGAACGAAAATTTGCATAAACGGTATGCGGCGGCCATCAGACGGCTTTTTTTAAAATGTTGGGGGCAAGGGTGTTTTGGGTGGGGGGGGGAGTGGGGGGTGGAATAGCCCCCTCTACCCCCACTCCACCCCTTCTACCCTTACTCCACCCCCCCTCTACCCCCATTCCACCCCCCCTCTACCCTCACTACACCCCCCCTCTACCCCCACTCAACCCCCACTCCCCCACTCCCCGGGTAAGCGGTGGGCGCCCTCTGAAATAGCTGCCCACGGGGCTACCCAGCCCCGATACGGCAGGGAGGGGACGTCTGAATGCATATTGCCATTGATTGGCACTAATTGTCAAATTTGACGAATTAAGGGGCGTGATGTGACACAGATGGTCTTTTAGCGACAATAATAATTTAATTTAATTTATGTGACTGTTGCTTAACGACGTGAAGGTCCATTGGTATTCATTGGCTCCTTTTTTTTCCCGGGGCGAGCTCTAGGTAGCGCAATTACTTACGGTCAATTGTTATTATTTTGTCATTTAGTCGCAGATCATAATGAATGAGGGAGATTAATTCATTTGCGAACCATAATAATACTACAATGATAATTATTTTGTCAATGCTTGCAGTCAGTCATTTACAATCATAACGTGGGCACTCGTTAATTTTAATATTCAAAACATACTATTAACATTGCTAATGAGTGGCGTTCAGCCATCACAAATAGTGTTTTACGGAACTCTTACATCACGACCACGTGCTTGAGCAGAGGACTACTTACTGATTACAGCCGTGCATGGAGACGCGGCGTGATCGCTTATTAAGGAAGACTCACCAACCTCCTGTTGCCTCGCCCTTCTCATCTTACTCTACTCCCCTCCACGCACTCTCCTACCTCCTTCCTCATCTCACTCAACTCCCCTCCACCCACTCTTCCTATCTCTCCCCTCTCATCTCACTCTACTCCCCTCCACGCACTCTCCTACCTCTCCCCTGTCATCTCACTCTACTCCCCTCCATGCATTCTCCTACCTTTCCACTCTTATCTTACTCTACTCCCCTCCTCGCACTCTCCTACCTCTCCCCTCTCATCTCACTCTACTCCCCTCCTCGCACTCTCCTACCTCTCCCCTCTCATCTCACTCTACTCCCCTCCTCGCACTCTACTACCTCTCCCCTCTCATCTCACTCTGCTCCCCTCCACGCTCTCCCCTACCTCTCCCCTGTCATCTCACTCCACTCCCCTCCATGCATTCTCCTACCTCTCCACTCTTATCTCACTCTACTCCCCTCCACGCACTCTCCTGCCTCTCATCTCGCTCTACTCCCCTCCACGCACTCTCCTGCCTCTCTCCTCTCATCTCACTCTACTCCCCTCCACGCACTCTCCTACCTCTCCCCTCTCATCTCACTCTACTCCCCTCCATGCACTCTCCTACCTCTCCCCTCTCATATTACTCTACTCCCATAATATAGGTTTTTACGCGATCTAACCCAAAAAAACCTATATTATGGATGATATTGGATGCAAAAGCCTACGTGTTAAACCACTCTACTCCCCTCCACACACTCTCCTACCTCTCCCCTCTAATCTCACCCTACTCCCCTCTTATCTCAGGCTACTCCCCGCCGCATACTCCCTGCTCCAACAACCCTGGACGCTGTCGACAACTCAACATTGATGCATTGTAAATTGCATCGTTGACCCTCCAGGCATCTTCCTTCGGCACACAACTTGCGCCGCAGCGCCATCTCAATCTCCTCTCTGGCCTGTACAATTCTACCCATAATTCTGTGCTCTAACGTACAAAAAAGCCCTCTTCAAACTCTCCGAATTGGCAGTTTTCTGCCGTATCGCAAGGCGAGCGTCCTGAGACGCGCGTGCATTTGGGGCGCTCCATAAATCAGTCTGGCATCTCTGAGCCGCGGGGAATCGGACGTAAACTGGTTAACGAGACCCGATAACATTTGCCTGCCCCCTCTTCCTTCAGGGCAACCTGGGGGGCAGAGGAAGAGTGCAAGGGTCACCGACCTGTGCCACCGGCTGCTTCTCTCCCGCTGATTCAATCCATCGCTTTCTCTTTGCGGCCCCCCCCCACACCCCCCCCACACCCCCCCCCACACCCCCACACCCCCCCCCACACCCCCCCCCACACCCCCCCCACACCCCCCCACACCCCCCCACACCCCCCCCACACCCCCCCCACACCCCCCCCACACCCCCCCCACACCCCCCCCACACCCCCCCCACACCCCCCCCACACCCCCCCCACACCCCCCCCACACCCCCCCCACACCCCCCCCACACCCCCCCCACACCCCCCCCACACCCCCCCACACCCCCCCCACACCCCCCCCACACCCCCCCCACACCCCCCCCACACCCCCCCCACACCCCCCCCACACCCCCCCCACACCCCCCCCACACCCCCCCCACACCCCCCCCACACCCCCCCCACACCCCCCCCACACCCCCCCCCACACCCCCCCCCCACACCCCCCCCACACCCCCCCCCCCCCACACCCCCCCCCACACCCCCCCCACACCCCCCCCACACCCCCCCCACACCCCCCCCACACCCCCCCCCCCCCACACCCCAAATGATCTTCTTCGTTGTGGGACCCGCCTACCTCTCTGGCCGTCTCTCTGTGCTGTGAACAAGGGGGGCCTTTGCCCGAAACGTCGCCTCTTATTTGCATATTCTTTTTGAGGCCACAGTGATATGTCTATTCTTTAAAGCATTCACATAGGTGAATTAGTGGAATGTTCATCATCATCATCATCATCGCGTCCTTTATTTTTCCCAGGAAAGCCATGCCGAGTCTCAAAATTCGTTATCAGGAGGGTCCTGCCACATTATTGAGATGTTTGGCCAATGGCATCAGTGAGTGTTTTGCCTTCGCGTGGGAGGAAACTGGGGAACGCAGAGGAAATATACACACACTATCCTCACAGACCAAGTCCACTACACCGTGGTATTCCCAGGCAGTCTCCCATCCAACTGATAACCTGCCTCAACCCTGGCCAACTTCCAAGATCCGACGAGATTAGGAGCGGTGAGGGTGATATGGGCTTGGGCAACCTCTTCGAAACTTTAACTTGGACCGGTCACAAATTAACGCCAACGCGTGTCGATTGTTTCAATGTCAAGACTTTTGCCCCAGCTTCCGTGCGAGTGACGTTGCCGCCCCCCGAGTTCAACACCTTTTTTTGCCCGTTCGGAAACAGGGTCCAGTGGTGCTACCGTCTTGCGTCAAAACAAATGTCACAGGGCCACAGCAGGAGACCACAACAACGTAGTCCCTGCAGCCACCTATGAAACCTGTTATGCACGGCCGTCACCCATCCAAGCACAGCTGTCCAGGCTCAACCCTGCTTGGCTCATGAGATCTGATGAGATTGGGTGGATTCTGGGTGATTCGGTCACAGGCTTTACTTATTTACCCGAGTCAAAAAAAGCCACCCCCTTGATTTAACGAATCTGTCCTTGCGTTTGATGGCAGCAAAACCGTATGGTTACGCTCGTTGGTAAGTGTCTAAAAAGCGCGTCCGTGTGCTCAAGGAACTGTGACCTTTCACGCCGCGCTAACGGAACGTCTGGCCCCTGCGTGCGTCGCCCCCCTTCCCCCTCCGTCACAGACGTGTGCAACCTGCCCCTGATGCTCGGAGCTCTCTGCCACCTGCAGCTGCAGGGCGCCCTGGATCACAGCTCGGAGGAAGTCTCCTTCCGGCTGCTCTACCACGGTGTGCCTCCGCGTGCAGCTCCCTGCGATTAGGGCTGATCCGCTGGCGGGCACCCTCAGTTACTCCGCTCTATCTCTCTCCATGGTGGCCAATCTTGGTGGTCGGCGTTGGTGGCCAATGTTAGTGGCCGACGTTAGTGTCCGGCGTTGGTGGTCGGCGTTGGTGACCGGCATTGGTGGCCAATGTTGCTGGCCGGCATTTGTGGCCTGCGTTGGTGGCCGGCATTGGTAGCCGGTGCTGTGGTGGCCAGAGTTGGTGGCTGGTGTTGGTGGCCGGATTGATGCTCTTTACTGGTGCCGGATGCTGGTGGTCAGGGTTTTTGCAAGGATTCAACTCTAACCCTCAGCAGTTTGATGAATGGGTTCCACTTAACTATCTATGGTTATTTCACACTCCCATTACTGTGCTCCCTGAGCCCCAAAACCAATTTTGATTGGCTGCAGTAGTAGTTTTCAGAGCTGTAATATATTTTTCACTGGAGTGCCCCCGATGTGATGCGGTGTGCGGTTGATGTGAAAAGTACCGCGTGCGGTGGGGGGTGCGGTGATGTGAGCTGCGCGGGGTGGTGATCCGTGCAGTGTGCGGTGTGATGGGAAGTGTGGTGTGTTGCGAGCAGTGTGGTGTGGTGAGCAGTGCGGTGTGGTCAGCGGCGCGGTGAGGTGAGCGGTGAGGTGAATGGTGCGGTGAGGTGAGCAGTGCGGTGTGGTGAGCGGTGCGGTGTGGTGAGCGGTGTGGTGAGATGAGCGGTGCGGTGTGGTGAGCGGTGCGGTGTGCGTTGTGTGGTGAGCAGTGTGGTAGGGTGAGCGGTGTGGTGTGGTGAGTGGTGTAGTGAGCCGTGCGGTGTGGCGAGCCGTGCGGTGTGGTGAGCGGTGCGGTGTGCGTTGTGTGGTGAGTGGTGCTGTGTGCGTTGTGTGGTGAGCCGTGTGGTAGGGTGAGCAGTGCGGTGTGGTGAGCGGTGCGGTGTGCGTTGCGTGACGAGCAGTGTTCCGGGTGGTGGATCGAGTGAAGAGCGCGAAGGCGCCGGTGCTGCTGCCGGCGTTCTCCTTCGTGTACGCGAGCCTGGGCCAGGGAGCGGGGGCCGGCTGGGGCCGCAACTCGGGGGACAGCCGCGGTGAGACTCGCGCACGCGCTCACCACCCTTGCCGCCCGCGCTCCATCTCCACAGCACCGAGGGCGCGGACCGACGCCTGGGAACCACGCCATCCTCACCGCCCTCATCACCGTCGTTCAAATCACAGCCCTTACCGTACCTCACCGCAATTGCCAACCTTTTTCAGCCAATCTCATCGCCCATTCCATTGTCACGATACATCTCGACTACACTTCAGCCTCACCACCGTCACTGCCATCACATCCATCGCCATGCCCCTCACTCCCTCACCCTCCTTATTCCATCTCTCCCCCCCCACTGCCCTCACCCACCTTACCACCATCACCATCGTCACCTCCATTAACACCCTTGCCTTCCTCTCCCACCCTTAACTTCCTCTCTCCTCCCCGCCCCACCACTCCCTCCTCATCCACCTCACCGCCCGCTGAGCTAAGAGGCACCGTTGACGATCTCCGCCTTAATTAGCGGCGTTTCCAGCCGGGGCGCTCGCTCAACCCGCTCGCCGTGGAGCAGCTGTAATTATTGGAGCGATCGTAATGGTTTACATTATTTGTATATTTTGTTAATTCACCGGGAAACTCCTCCCAAGTTCCCATTACACTTTTAACGGTGGCTTAAATCGTTAACTAAATGTTTTTTTTTTTGTACACGTCGGAAATTAACGTCGTTCTCTTGGCTCCTGCTTTTTTTGATTGGGAGGTAATACAAACGGGGTGTTGAATTTAACTTTGCGAGCACGCGCTTGCGTGCGTGCGTGCGTCGAGAGAAGAGGGAAATAATGCTACTTTCTGCGATGGTGGCTCCTCCCTTCAATGCAGCACGGATGCTGGTCACGTAACTACGGGGTGGGGGGGCAGGGAGCGGGGGGTGGCGATGGGGGAGGGGGGATGGGGTGGCAAAACCCCGACGGGTTTAGAGAGACGTCGCCCCGTGATTACAACGCGAGACCTCTTTTGCTATTTGTGATTACGCGCACAGCGGCAATCATCGCCTCCTACTGGCAGACTAACGCCCACTCGCAGGCAAGGTGGCGAGTCACCTTGTGCCGCAGAGGGACAGCTACCCCTGGGGGTCCCCTTGGCTGGACCTCATAGCAATCCTACACTCCGAAATGGAATCATTTGAAAATTAAAGACAAGCAACAGCACGGTTGTGGCCATGTAACCCAAGCTATGGACCTCATAGCAAACCGCTTTAGTCTTCTCTTCTTCAACAGGGGAGTAGCAAAACCACACCAACTTTCCACCGAAGCCCTCTCGTGGCCAGGGGCAGACCTCGGGCATTGGCTCCTGAACTTATTGCTGCGACACGCAAGAATAGAATGAAATCTCCCCCACCTGGCAGACGTATCGCCTGCCTGCAGGCCATGTGCTGAATCACCCCGTGCCACACGGGGATAGCTGCCACTTGGGGTGCCCTTTCAAATGTGTTGAGATGACACGTGATGCATCTTGCGTATCGCATGTGAAGCCCTCTGAGATGCCCTGGAGTAAAGGGCACTCGATCAAATACAAATTATTATTATTACATTGCGGACGGACGTGAGCAGAGAGATGGTCAGGCTCGAGGCAGCTTACGGGGAAGGTAGGATCACATCAGGCTGGAGACAGAGTTAGCCACGTGGATTATAGAGTGTCCGCAGGTTAAGGCACGATGCACTCTTCTAAGAAACGTGTGGGCAAGGGCAGGATTCGTCACTGGAAGGGATGGCGATGGCCGGCGTTCGAGAATGGTGACAAAGCGGCAACTCCAAAAAAATGGAACGCATCCAGGTGGGGGAGATGGAGCGATGAAATCGCCTTGCGTGTGCAGGTGTTAGGCGGATTATTACATCGCCGGATCGCGAGAGGTGGCGGTGGCGGCTTGGAGAGGCCTGCACCCAGCGGTGGATCTACCCTGGCCGATGGTGATGATGATGATCGATGGGGATCACCATCTATTACTGCGGAGGCACAAAGGGCTCGGCAGATGTTTAATCTCGGGACCCAGCTCCGAAGAAGGTCCATTGCCTGAAATATCTAAAACAAGCACCATCTGTATTGTGGCCCGGTAAACGCACTTTTGGGCCGCCCTGTATTTTCTCTGTCATTCGGCGGCGTTGATGACGAATGTGCCGAGCGCTATCGCTCTCTCCCTCGTTCATTTTAAACAAACGACCCTACTGGAAGGTCAGCGAGTGCGCTAACGGGCCCTGCGTCAACTCTCAGACTTAACCCAGCCTCATTATTTTGCAGGGCTGCGACGATCTAAAAAAAAAATGTACGACATAGCGTCGGGTCTTTGAACACGGGATCAGCAGCCATCTTCATGCATTAAGTTTTCGTGCCTTCCAAGTTACCGAGCTGTGTTTACCGTCAAGTCACTATTGTAAAATATATCTACATATATCTATACACGTATGGATAATCCACGTTAAACGCAGCTTCGTGCGCCGATTCTGCCGGGGCGCCCCAGCGAAACAAGCCGTTTCCATCTCGCGTGTTCCACTCTCGGCTCGAGTATCTCTTATAAATAACTGAGAGGACCATGGCCTCGTAAATGTGAAGCGACGTGGGCCCCCCGCGCTTCTCCCCGCTCTCGCGCGCTTCCTCGCCGCCATTGCTTTCTTCCCCGCGCTGGCTTTTTCCGTCGGCTCCGGAGATGGGTACGCCGAATTAATTATTTTGGCAGTAACAGCTAATCGCCGTAATTTGCCGGCTGTAATTAGGAGTCATTTCATTACGCTCGCTGCAGGGCCGATAAACTGCGCAAGATTTTTTTTTCAATTTTTTTTTTTCCGCCTCTCAGAGGTGGGTGGAAATTACAGGCGGACAGCCGGTGGATTAAGGAAAGTAATTTAGTCCAATTTCCATAATGGACGTGTGTGCGTTTACCAGCCCACAACACGCTTTTGAGAACCCTCGCGTGATTGATCGAGACGCGCTGTAATATATTTTTTATGCAGGTGCGCATTTACCGCAAATGAATTATTTAAACCCCTGTCCACATGGGCCCTCCTCACGTGTGGCAATTTGAGTGCGAGGGCGATGACCTGGCGTAATAATTTTAACCCAACTTTCACAGATTTCCATTTTTTTGCGCGAGAGCCGCGCTGCGCATGCGCGCGTGTGTGCGGTGGGGAGCGGTGGTGTAGCGGTTAGTGCGCTGCGCTACGAACCCGGCGAGGCGTGTTCGATTTCCGCTCATGGCTAAAACCAGTGATGATTATCTGAACCGGTCCTGGGCCTCCCCTTGGTCAACTCAGCCTCAAATGAGTACCTGGTGCGGTGTGTAAACATCGCCACTAGGGAGACAAAGGCGGTCGGCCCTGGTGCTGACCACCCACCCCCTCGTGTGCTGTGCTGGCCTTTATAGGTGCTCGCTAACAGCACTTGCTTCAACAGTCTGTTAAAGGCTATACGGGGGATCTTTGTCTTTGTGCGTGGCCCCGTATCCCTCTCTGTGCCCCGTCGACGTGATCATTTGTCACGGTTCACGGTCGCGATTTGGTAAAAAAAAAAATAGTTGTAAGATAAATACGTTAGTCAGTTTAACACGTAGGCTTTTGCGACCAATATCAACCATAACACAGATTATTTTGGGTTAGAACGCGTAAATATATAAATGTGTTGTTAAACTCACCACCGCCCGACACAGCCAATTAGTAATATTTGTCACGTAAACAGAACATGCCAATTTGTTACTAGTACAACATTTACAGTTGTGACTTTGCTCTCCAACACACCGGTGTGCTGCACTAGTAACGAATTGGCATTTTCTGTTTATGTGACAACCCTTACTAACTTGGCTGTGCCAGGTGGTGGCTTTACGCAATCTAACCCAAAACACCTGTTATGGAAAACACGTTTGTCACGTGTTTTTCCGACGTCTCATTTGTATCGCTTGTTGGGGGTTGTCGTCATTCGTCTTGGTTTATCTTGTTTTATCGGTTAGTTTTGTTTCGTACCGAACGAAGTGCTAGTCAGGAGAAGCAAACCGTGAATCATCTCCCGAGATGCCCTGCAGCACCCACAATGCACTCCTCAAGATTTGGCAATGCCAACATCGGAAGCGGTGGGCCTGTGCAGAATATTGTGGAAAGACCCGTGTAGGTTGGACAGGAGACGCGACGAAGAAGATGATTCGTACCGCTAGCCCAACTGCATCGCTCAAAATATCACCTGCGTGCAATTTGCGCAGATCGATGCGGTGCGCGTGCTGCAAGCGCGAGAGGGAAATTTGAAACGACAAGTCGATGGGTTGCGATGTGCCTCGTGGTGATGTGTCGGCAGGCCAATCACAATTGGTTTTGGGAGTAAGGGGTATGACCAGTCATGCACGGGGGTCAGCTGTCTGGATATAAGCACGCCATATATAATCATATATATGTAAGCATCACATATTTTCTTGACACCGGTGGGTCAACGGAGAAGGGAAACTTCTAATACAAGCACATGACTTCAATATCAGCTCAGCTGGCCTTGCTTCCTCCCAAGGAGTGTGCTTATTGGTCACATGGCTCCTCTGTCACAAGCCCCTCGAATGCCCGTCCATGGGCCAGAGCAGAAATTGGTTAACCCAAACTGTGAGCACGCAACCCACCCTTATTGGCCTCTTATAGACATTGCAATCCACTAAAGTTATGCCACCTAGGGCAGAACCGATAAGTGCAATATCTGGTATGTCCCACTGTGGGGTGCCACGGTGGTGAGATGTTAACTACCTCGCCTGGTATACAGGAGACCGTGGGTTCGATGCCGGCCCTGACGCCTGTATTTTTGGAGTTTTCATGTCTCTGTTCCCATTGTCGCGTGGATTTTTCTCCGGGTCCTCCGGTTTTTCTCTCCACATTTAGAGATTCCGTTTCGAGTTTTTGGCTGCTATACATTTCCACATGATGATAAGCCACTTCGTTGAGCTATCATTTGTGACCAGGTCGCTTCTGAAAAAGAGCTATATAGCTCAGTGGGCCTTGTGTGGTAAAATAAAAAATTGTTTAGTTTAGATCTGGCACGTGGTGCAGTGAACCTTGCAACCTGAGCCAGCAACCGGCAAGGGTTTGCGGGATGCACGGTTCCCAGCCTGGCAGCCGCGCCGGGCTTCTGGCTTCACCTGTCATCGCTGTCACCCACGGCGCGTGTGCCTGCTGTGCGTTAGCCGTGGCGTTGGCGCTGTCCAGCGAGCGGCTGCTGGCGCTGCTGCAGGAGGCGGTGCAGCCACCGGTTGGCGACGAGTCACCGTGGCCGTCACCGGCGTCGCCGTGCGAGTCGGAGCTGCTGGGCAGCGCTTGGCTGCTGCTCTCGGCGCTGCTCGGGTGCCAGGCGGCGCACGACATCGAGGTGAGGGGTCGTGAGGTACCCCCCCTCCCCTCCCTACAAACCCTCCTCCCCTCTCCGCCCTCCGCACACTCTTCGCCACGCAGCCAAACCCCTGTGTGCATGCACACTGGCCCTTGGCACACCTTGCCTGCGGTCAAATTCACACCTCTACCAAAACCACAAAGACAAGATCCCCCGTATAGTATTAACAGACTTTTGGGGCACACGAGGGGGTGGGTGGCCAGCACCTTTGTCTCCCAAGTGGCGATGTTCACACACCGCACCAGGTACTCATTTGAGGCTGAGTCGACCTGGGGGATACCCAGGATTGGTTCACTTCCCTATATCTATCCACACCAGCCACAACTTTGCCATGTGGCTATCGTGCACATCTCCGCATACAGCCGCTTAACATACCCCCGCTGCACATACAGCGCCTCGTCCCAGTTTACCGCACCACGTGTGCCGCTTGCCAAACACCGTCACCCTTTGTGTGACTCACCTCCAGTTCACACGCACTCCTTCACGACCAAGTAAAATATGCCAGTTGAGTTGGTTTATCAGCAGAACCAGAGGAGCTTAGATTTAACCACTTTTTTTACGACGTTTCGCTGGAGGTTATCGCATCCCAGCTTTTGCCCATAAACAATATCAGTTGCGAAATTTGCCCATAACGCGACGACTTGATTTGATATTCACCGTCGGCTGGTGGAGGGCTACAGTAAAAGAGAACATTGTATCCCACACGACGACCCAACCCAGAAGAGACCGCCCGTGAATTGCGACGCACGCCTCACCAACGCGGGCGCTCGGCGTTCTGTAAACCGCTCACCCCAAGCGTCGCCTTCCCATCCACGGGAGATGCTTGGTCACGTAGTCCCATGCATACCCCACCCGGTGCCACCAACCTTGCCCCCCGCGCACCACGGCCCGCCCGCTCACCTTCACGATGTCATGCCACCTGTTCGCATCGCTCGCTGGGGCTACGCGCCACGACTTGCTGGAAGCTTTATTTTTTCACTTGATGACGATTGCTTGTGTTGCGATGACAACGTCGTAATTTTTTATTATTTTATTATTTTAATATTTACGTGACTTTACCGAAAGACCCAATCAGTATGGAAGCTTCATTTGTGGAAACAAGTCAAGGTCATGTTGACTTCTAACTGCCCCCCTCCCCCCGGTGACATCGCTATGACATCACTGCTTTTTGTTTTTAATATGTCGGTGCACGGTGTCATCACTGTAGTGCTATGGTGGGGACACCTGATCGTCATTTTAGAGTTTTGTCTTTGTTATCAACGTAACTTCAAATCCATGCCGGACAGTGCAGGACGCGCGACCTGTTTGTGTATTCAGAGCACGAACGCCGTTGGGTTTTTTGTTGTTGCGTTTGTCATTCGATCGGCGCGGCGGTCATGCCCACACATCACGGTCCTCGTCATCATCGTCATACATAATTGGCCTTGATCGATCCACTGCTGGATGAAGGCCTCGCTTAACCGTCGCTGTCTCTCACGGCCCTGCGATGTAACCCAGGCACCCAGGCGGTAATCGACCGACAACTCAAAAAAAGACACGAGACTGCGCCGACCCACGCTCGGTGCTGCCGACACCTCACATCTGTCCGCCCGTCCAACAGTCGATCCGTCTGTCCATAGCTTCCGTCCGTCCGTCAGTCCATTTGTCCGTCAGTTCATCAATCCATCCGGCAGTTGATCAGTCCCCATCCTTCTGTCTGTTCTTCAGTCAATCCCGTCTGTTTGCGAGTCCATTCGTCGATCCGTGTTTTTGTCAGTGCACCCGTCTGTTCGTCGCACAGTCCATTCATCCGTTAGTCGCCCGTCCGTCTTTCCATCTGTCCGTCCGTTTTCTCCGTCCGCTCGCCTGCCAACGACGAGAGAAAAAACAAAAAATCCTGCAGCTCCGCGCAGTGCGTGGCCCGGCAGCGTGGAGCAATTTCAGATGTGAGATTTACAGCGGCGATGAGCGGGGGCAGCCGAGACCGGGCTGCGATGACTGCCGCGCCAGAGCCCCCCGTCAGCAGCAGCGGCAGCGGCAGTGCAGATAACTTAATCTAGAGGCGCGCGCGCGCAATGGCACACAGGGAGCGTGTTGCATTGTTGACAGAGCTGATAAAACACCCAATTTAAGGCAAGCTGTTAAGTCGCTTGGGAGATTTCAGAAGCTGTGACGTTTATAGATTAATTTGCTGCTCGAAAACAAAAACAAGCGAGCAATTCTTGCGGGAGCTCGAGATGAAAGCTTCTAATTAATCAGTCAATTACAAGTTGCCCCAATTGAGGAAATTCCCTAAGCAGGAACAAGTGTTTTTTGTCTGCGTTCGTGGTTGTTTTATTTGTTGTTGTTATTTTTTGTTCTTTTCACCGGGGGTCGTGGGGGAGCTGCAGGTGCGTGGATGCATCGGTGTGGATCCTCTTGTCCTGCTGGCGCCGCTCACCGGGAAGCGAGGAGCGTCTGGGCTGCTGCAAGGTGACGGGGTGGGGGGGGTGAAGGGTGGCACACCCGGGTGTCTGGTTGGGGGGCTGTCGTGCACGTCCACGCTGCTGGGCGGCGTGTGAGCTAGGCGGGTCTGCTGAGCAAGTTGTCTGGTGGGCAGGAGGGAATGTCTTGTTGGCACGATGTCCTGATGTCCAGAGTGCTGGGACCCCAGTGGATCGGCCAACTGCGTGGCAATGGGGGCAAGGTGTCCGATGGGCGAGGGAGTCTTCTAGCGAGCAGTGTGGTGGGCCGGGTGTCTTCTTGACAGATGCGCAGGACGCCAAGCAAGCCGGTAGGCTGGGCGTCGGTGAGGTGCACTAATGAGCGGGGGGGCGCAGGGTGTCGAGCAGACATTGTTTTGGTTGGCAGGGAGTTTGAGGTTCAAGGTGTCATCTGTGCAGAGTACTACTATTATAATAGTGCAGGGTGCCAAGCATGTAGGTATCATCCGGTGGGCTGGGTGTCAGCAAGGCACACTGATGAGCAGGGTGTCTGGCAGGCAGGGGCAGGCCGACGGGGGCTTTCCGTGCCGCGGCCAGCACTCGTCGCTGTCTAACCCCGTCCGCCCGCGCGCGCCCCTCTCCGCCTGCGCGGTAATTGCGACGCGCACCTGTTGGCGTGGGCCTGGCACTTGCCTTTAATTTTCATCCTGCATCATGAATCACAATTAAGTCCTGTAAACGCCTGTCTCTGGTCCTCGGAGGTGGGCTGGGTGGCGGGCGGGGGGGGGGGGGTGGTGGGTATTTGCCACGGGACGCTCGCCATTCCCACTCACAGCCGCTTGACGTCCACTTAATAAATGGGCGTCAAGCTCTGGCGAGATGCAGCCGCTGCAATCGCACGCGGATGCACAGTCTCTTGACGGACGCGCTTTGGTGTAACGTTTCGGTGGGGGGGGGGGGCGGTGGGAGGAAGGGGGTGGGGGCCCGAACAGCCTGCTTGGACGGTGCTCGCTCGCCCGCCTGCCCACCCTCACCGGGCGCTGCCGCGGCCCTGATTGATACTAAATTGGCGTTGGAACTCATTTCAGAAATTGGAGTCGCGCCACGGTGTTGTGCCCTGGGCCTCGGCTGGTGTTAATAATCATTTTTCACGCGATGACATCCGGAACACGGGACCGCGGCCAGCGCGCCTTGATTACACGTGACCTGGCGTGCGCGCGCGTGCCCTGTAATGTTTGTCGCCGAAACGCACCGGGCTGCCCCTCCCCCCCCCACCTGCGCGCGCGCACACGTGCATGCGCGCTCGTATTTGCGTTCGTCCTTGTGTGCGTCTGTGTTTTTACGTGTGTGTTGGCGTATGTATATTTGTGTGGGGAGTCGCGGCCCAGCTGTACGAACCCGGCGACCCGAGTTCAATTCCCGCGCGCATGACCAACACCGCTGACGACTACCTGAACTGGTCCTGGGCCTCCCCTCGGTCGACTCAGCCTCAAATCAGTACCTGATGCGATGTGTAATCATCGCCACTGAGGAGAGAGAGGCGGCCGGGCTTGGTGCTGGCCACACACCCCCTCGTGTGCCGTGCCGGCCTTCACAGGTGCCCGCTAACAGCAACTGCCTCGAAAGTTTGTTCAGGCTACACGGACGGGGGCGGCAGTGTAGCAGTTTAGCTCGCTGCGCTACGAACTCAGTGACGTGACCTCAATTTCAACCTCACGGCCGACATCAGCGACGGATATCCGAATGGTCTCGCGCCTCTCCAGTGTGAGCGTGCACGTGCGTGCGCGCGCTCGCTCGCGTATATAAACATTCCCGCGCGCTCGCTCGCTCGCGGGAGCAGATTGCATTGCGGGCGCGTTAAAAGGGCGGCCGTTATTTACGACGCGTCGGGGGTTTCGCGACTTTTTTTCTCTTTGCGTCATTATCAGCCTGCGACGGAGGAGGGTGGGGTGGGGGGGGGGACGTGGGGGGGTTGGGGTTGGGTGGAGATGCCGCTGGGATGTCAATCTTCAACGCTCGCGGGTTCAACCCGGGGCGGGGGGGGGGGGTCCGCTGGCGCGGGCGGATAGAGGGAGCCGTCGATCGCGACGCACGCGACGTGGCCTGCGCGTGCTGCGTAAAACATTTAATAAGGTCGTAAATAAGGGAGGGTTGGAATAAATGACTCCTGGCTCACCCGACGGATATACGGGCAGTCAACTGGATGCCTTCATCAAAATTGCATTTACTTTTTTTTTGGGTTGGGGGCTACAATTTTCCTAACTAAGGTAACAAGCTGTTTGCAACGTTTTTTTTTCGGAGCTGCCCCTCGCGCCGAGTCGTGAGTGGAGCGACGCTAATCGGGCCAGGGCAGCCGTGACTTCCTCTAGGCTTCTCTCGTCGCGCAGGTGGTGCGGCCCAAATCAGTGCAGTTCAACGCACTTCAGGGCGCCGCGCCGCATGTGTGCTTGTGTTATCCGCGCGCGGCTTCGTCTCATCCGGGACGACCTAGCGGGCGGGGGTGGCGGCGGGGTGGGGGGCGGCGAGTTTCTCCCAGAACTGATTCGGATATCGCGCACTGCCGCTTACGTGAGGCGCGGCTGGGAATCAAGCGGAGGCCGCCAGGTTGGTATCCCGGTGCGCTCAACATGGCCGCTGTGGAGACAAAGGCGGCCCGGCGTGGTTCCGGCCACACCACCCCGTCGCGCGCGCCGCGTCGGCCGTCGCATGCGCTGGTTGACAACACTTGCCCCAACAGCCCGTGAAGGCTATAGATGCGGGGGGGGGGGGTGAAATGTTTGTGTTTGCGCGTGTGAAGTGTGCGCCCTGCAGCTGCTCAAGACGCTGCTGGGCTTGGGCTTCGCGTCGCCGCTGCTTCGCATCCGCACGGCTCCGGCCCCGAGCGACGCTCCGGCCAGCGACGTGGACGCCTCTCTGCGGCCGCTCTCGCTGGACCACATCACACACCTCGCCATCGCGCTGGACAGACACCTGGTGCAGGTAGCCTCCCTCCTGCCCCCACCCACCCAGTGCCGGCGGCGCACGTTCGCCAAAAGTCCCGACGGAGAGAGCCGATGCTTGCGTCGGGGGTGCCCACATCTCGCATAGTAACACACAAGGCCATGGCCAGGACCGACAGACAAACGGACAGCCTCGGGGGAAGCTGAATGCGAGTGTGCAGCTCGTCATTAGGTGACCTTGAAACTTACCTACTCATTAAAAATTGCATACACTCCCTTCCTTCCCCCCCACCTTTCAACCAATCCTGCTCTGGGCTTCCCTGCCCCGTAACTATATTTGCCCATCGGCCGCCAATGGATACTCCAGTGCCTCCGCTGAATGATTTATTAACCAAGGCTATGCCATGCCTCACAGTGCTGTCCCCCACGGTCTGTCTAAGATTTCCATGGTCGCGTGTCCGTGGGGCTTTTGCTGGGTTTTCCACTTGAGTGTGTGTACATTCGCATGTTGAACGTCTTTCGCACTGTACGTAGCCAATCGGAGGTGCGGGGGAAGGACAAACTAAGCACTTAAAGCAGTTCCAAAGAAATTAGTTTTCAATCTACACTTAAAAGTGCATAGCACCAGTGGCTTCCTAATATCGGAAGGAAGAGCGTTCCAGACGGCCGCAGAAAACGCATCTGAAAACGCACGAATGCAGTGACCAAATAGGTGGTGGCTGCATTTGGCACCACTTATTTGGCCGCCTGTGCCACCATTTTCTTGAGGCAGAGCTCATCCAGGGGTTCGCTGGATGGTTCGGGGATCAGACGTTCATTGCTTTTTTCGGAAAAAGATTTCCATGAATAGGGACGCGTGCTGGAAATGCTCCAGCATCTCCAATTCAGTCGTTACGATGCCCAGCTGTAGTTTTGTTTTTGCCTAGCGGACTCCTGATGACAGCTGTCACTGTGCGATGCATGGTGACGTAGGGCTGGCCTGCAAGTGAGCATTCGTCTGGCAATTAGCGGTGAACGTTGCTATTGGTTATTCCAATTCAATGCTTTTGCTAATAATTTTTCTAATTTTAAGCGTGACGCCAGCACACATGGCCTATGCTTTTTCGAATAACATCACACGGAATTTGTATGGTTCATAAAAACCGCAGTATTGGCCGGGGTGGCCAGGTGCATGAACCGCAAAACAACGACCCCCCCCCCCCCCCCGTTGCCTGAACAATTTTAATGCCTACATGGGCGATCTTTGTCCCCGTAATGTGCATATGGATGTGACGTCACGAGAGTGGTCTCCTTCTCCGTGTGCCCAATGATGTGGAGTAGCAACTATTATTTTACGTGGAGGTGGTGGATGAGCCAGATGATTGCGTCGGGAGTAGCGGAGTGAGTGGTGAATCGCTGTGATGATGCGTCCTCCTCCTTCGTGTTTATGAACACGGGGCATCAAGTCACATCGTTCCACGTCCCATGGTTCTGTTCTGAGTGGCGACCACAGCCTCCGCAACACTTACCAAGAGAGGTTTTTTTTTCCATTTGCGAATCATCATCAAGTATCCGTATCTGCTACTGCTGCTGCCATAGCATACCAGTCAGCCCATACGCTGTACCCATAGTCTTGTTCAGGGAAATTGAGTAAAAAAAAAGTGTACATTTTTTTGCGTTTCTCCCTTGTGATGGGACTTTGTAGGATTATCGTTGAGCTTTATAAGGGCACGGGGTGATCAATAAGATCTGAATTGGTATGTAATAAGGTAGGCACTGATAAGGGGTTGACAGGTATACCATGATTTGTGCCGGCACCACTGTGAGCCTAGGTTAAAATCCAGCTTTCAACAAACCACCAGCGGTGAATCTGAATTCTCAAGCGTAGCGGGTTTGGCGGTCTAGGCCTGGTTACCGTCAGTGGTTGTCGTGCTAAATTCGTTTTCTTGATCGATACCAAAAAGACGAAGATTTAGTTTTTTTATCGGCTTTGCCCTCCCCAGCAAGAATACAGGCGTTAAGATGTTCAAACGCCAAATACACACAAGGCATCAAGTCTACATTAACCACACATGATTGGGGTAAAACATGCCAACGAATTGGCAGAAAGGGTCCCAATGATATCAATAAATTCGCCGAATGTGGCTTTAAAGTTCTTGAATTGAAATAGATTTATTTTTATCTTGACTTAAAGCTTTCGTGACTGCAGTAATTCATATTCTTTGGGTCTTTCGGTAAAGTCACGTAGATAGGTTCAAAGAAAATGTTTAAAAAATTACGACGTTTCGATCGCAACACAAGCGGTCGTTATCAGTAGCCCTTTATTGGTGGAAGCCCACAACCAGTGCCGTCATGGCCCTCTACGCGTACCATCACCTCGAGCAGCAACCTCCACCGTCAACAGCGTGAGTGTGTAAAGCGAGGTGCAATGATTACCTGGCAGCCCTTTAATTGGTGGAAACCCACCACCAGCAGCCGTCGTTGCACTCTACGAGTACTTACATCAGCTGACCCGCCCATGCTGATTAAAATTAAAATTAGAAATAACAAAAACTATTCTGTAATTTAAAGCGTGCTTCCAAAATCTAAATGTTATGACAGGTTCCCAAAAGCACAAAAAGGAAATTTTATTTTATATTTTATGCCCTTGACACAACAATTACATAAAATCCATGCCGCAGTTAGAATCCATTCCAGCATTTCAGCTTTCGCTTTTGCAGATCCGAGTCGATGTTTTGGGCAATTAGTTGCAGAAGGCTGCTGAGGAGCGAGTGAAAATCTAGGAGGAGATGTCTGTGTTTCCTCTTTTTTCTTAAACCTAACAATTCATATTTATTGGCCTTGAAGTTGTGTTATTTAATCGCAATTAGAAGTCGTGTCAGGGTGCATTTTTAATGAGGTGATTTCTGATTTGTTTTGTTTACACATTGTAATTTCCGTTGTTTTGCTGTTATTATTTAAACGTGCATATCCCTTGGATCAGAGATGCTGCAGGTCTCACTGGGCTCTCAGCTGATTGCTGCTCAGGTCATCTGTCTGCCCTTAACGAAGCGCTTATTTCGTAGCTCGCTCACAGGGATCGCTGACTGCCTGTTGGAAGATAATAATAATTTAGTCTACCTGGGAAAGACACACCGAGTCCGGCGACTCGGTTATGATCAGGAAGATCGTGCTGCATCGGGATGTTTGACCAACACTAATTAATAAACCGGAGAAGCCGAAGGAAGCCCATGCAGGACAGGGGGAGAGCATGCAAACTCCACGGAGAAAAGTGCCCGAGTGAGTAAATCGAACCCGGGTGCGTTCTTGCCTTGAGACTCAAGCGTTGCCCTTACACCACCCTGCCACCCTCCTGGCCCACCCCACCGCGGCCTGCCCCTGCCTCGCCACCCCAGGTGCGGTCCCCTTGTGCTCTTGACCCATTGCCCTTTGCGTTCACTCCTCCGCCCATCACTTTCTTTTCCTCTTCTCTTTTTCTCCTCCCTCCTCTGCTTCTCTTTCATGCCACAGACCACGACCGGGCTCCTCTTTGGACCCGTTCGACCCTACCGGACGCGGCGACCCTGTGCATCCTCGTTCGTTTATCACGTTGGCTTTGCTGAAAATATAACTTTTAAAAACACACACACAGGAAGCCTATTTTGAACTACGTTAGCGGGGGCGTTGGGTGACCCACGCCCCTCCTCGCCCCCCGTGTCACGGAGCGGTGCCGCAAGATGACATCACTCAACTATTGCTTCTGCAGTCTCTCCAGATTGCCTCCCAACCCCCCCCCCCTTCCCCCGTCGCTCGCTCCTTGCGAGGATTATTCACGGCCCGGCACTCATACCGAGAGATGCGCGGTCTTACGGGCCGGGTCTTAGTCACACAGGAGGTGCAACTCCCAAGTGCAGCGAGACGATTTATATTCCGCAGTCCTCGCAAGGCAGGGGCAGGCGTGACGGGGCATCTGGACGGTAAATGCAAAAGTTTGACAGGTGCAGCAGCCCTGCGATTGCTCGCTCACACCACCGCTGGCGGAAGGTGCCTCGACGAGAGAGAGCTCTACAGAGCCCGCCCCCCCCCTGCTAGGTGTTGGCCTTCTCTTCCCATGCTTGGCTGGTACATCTTTGGAAAGGTGGTGGGGTGGCAGCGGGGGGTAGGAGGGGGGGTGATTGAAGAAACTTTCAACTGCCGCGCCGGGTCATCTAATCTATCTGGCGGTCTCTGGCTTTGCGAGTCTGGCGGTGCGGCCTGTACCACCACGCAACTGCTTCCCATTGCGGTAAATGGAGCGAGCGCCGTTAATCCGGCTCCGAGGTTTGGGGGCGGCGGGGAGGCTGGGGGACGGGGGTGGGTGGAGGAGGGGGGGCGCGCTCGCGTGCAAGCGCCGTGGCACCTGTGGTGGGGTTCAGTGGAATGGAATGCTCGTTTGTATTACTCTCGCCTTGTACCACCGCCAGCCCCCCAGCTAAATTGACTCCTCCGAGACCGCCAACCCTAATGTTTTCCCTCTCCCTGCATCATGGATCACATCTGTTGCCGACACTTGCTTGCCGGTTTTAATTGAATTGCAAGTCGCTAAGCTATTTACAATTAAAAATCCTAATCAGTTTGTTGCGAGCGGTAAACATTATTTTATTTTTAGCCGCCGTTGATTTAAAGTTGATGAAAGATGTCTTGTTTTTTTGTATTATACGCGTCCAAAGAAATTGTGATGAATTGCTCGTTTATAATGAACGCATACTGTCTCGAATAAGGGATGGCTTCAAGTGCCAGGAGCGACGAAATTAACGAGAGATTTAAAAAAATATCTAATTTCTTACTCTCTTCAATCGTGTCATTATCGTTGAGTAAACTCGCGCAAAACGAAACGAAAGCACACACTCATAATTTACATTCAACGCGAAGGTCTTTGCATCCTTAGTGCTAAATTCGCTTGCGAGAACTGTTCTCCAACTCCCCCATGGCGAGCTGGAACAATTATAATTGGCGCGTTACACGCTTGTAAACGTCCACAAATTTAATTTGTTTGTTCTGCTACGTTGGCGAGATGTTAAGACGTTCGCCGCAGCTGGGGGATCGAACTCGGGCTGCCGGGTTCGGAGGGCGGTGCGCTACCCACTGCGCTATCACTCTTGCACCCCCCTCCGCCACCGCCCCCCCCACCCCCCACCACGCGAGCTTCCCTGATCCGATGTACCATTTCGGAATTGTGTGTTAGGAATTGAAAATTTAGCTCGCAATTCCCAGTTCACATAAAACAGCGATCACTGCAGAAATTCTCTCCTCTGATAATGGATGTGGGATATCACTGGCCAGCACCCAAACCTGTGAAGAGGCTTTGAATGTAATCGTCTCCATCTTCATAATAGAGAATGTCCTTTTGTAAAAGAGATTTCGCACTCTCTTGTAGTTCCCTCCCACATATTCACAAAGACATATATAGTCACACAACGCGCGCACGCCCCTGCGTACGTGCGTTGTGTGTGTTTGTTTTTGTGTGTGTGTGTGTGTTTTGACGTGTGTGTATTTGTGCGTGTGTGTGTGGGCATGCTTGTTAGGGTATGTGTTTGGGTGTGTTTATGTGAATGTGTGTTTCTGTGTGTGTGTGAGTTGGTTTTTACACGTGTGTGTAGCTGTGTTTAAGCATGTGGGTCTGTGTTTTATTTATTTTTGCACATTTGTGCGTGTATGTGTGCATATGTTTGCATGTGTGTGCATGCCTTTGTGTTCGTTTCGGTGCGTGTGTGTTTGCATGGGTATCTGTCTGTGTCTGCGTATGTGTGTGTGTAACTGTGCATATAAGCACGTGTTTGTCTCTGTGTGCTTGGTGTGTCTGTGTTTGTCTGTGCATACAAGTATGTGCATTAAGCATATGTATATGTGTGCGTATAACCATGTTTGTGTCCGAGTGTGTATGTGCGCGTCTGTGCGTGTAAGCATGTGTGTGTGTGTCTGTGCGTGGGGAGCAGTGGTGCCGTGGTTTGCGCACCGCTTAATTTCCATTCCATGAATAACATTAGCGGCGAGCGGAGCCGTAGCCAATCCCCGCGTCTCCCGAAGATCAACTCTGGCTCGCACGAGCACCTGGCGCAGTGCGCAAACACCGCCACCGGCCAACACGAAAGCGGTCAGGGCGTGGTCCTCGCCACGCACCCCCGCCTCGTGCGCCGTGCCGGCCTCAAGAGGTGCGACCGCGTAGGGCCAGCGATGGCCAACCCAGGCCATATTCGGTGGGCCACGTGAGCGGCCCTCCTTCACCTCGGTGGGCCGCAGGCTTCACATCGTGCTCGCGCACGTGACCCCCTCGCGTCGCCCCGGACACACTTAGACCAGGCCATCGGGAGGGGCCCCACGGGGACGACACGCGGCCCCGCTGGCCGCAGGTTGCCTACCACTGGCGTAGGCTTTGCACGGTTGTGCCGTACCTACAGCTGTCCCAACGCGCGTTCCGGCCGTTGACCGCGTGCATTGCGCCCGACGTTTCGCTCCACGTTCTTGGGGGGGGGGGGGGCGGTGGGACTCCTTCAAGAGATGAAACTCTTGTGGCTGCATGGAGCGAAACGTCGGACGTCGTGCCGAAAGGCACGCGGCACAGCCCGAGGGCACGGCGTAAAATCGGGAGCCTGCGCTTGAATTCAGCCACCGGGTCGGACTGCTCGGGGAATTATGTTAGGCATGCAACATCCTCCTATTTTGTCCTAAGCCTGTTTGTAGTATTCATATGAAATTAGGGTACACGATATATACTTGTTATGGATAGGCGTGCCGTGTATTATAGTGGTAGGGCCTTGCGATAAACGAATTTCTTGGTCCAAGCCGGCCTGGCGGTCGTATTCCGGGAAAAAATATCGAGTGAGAAATTAAACCCCAAACCCCAGCATTATTATCGTCATCGTCAATATCATGCCTGTCACCATCATCATCATCATAATCGTTCATACATTAACACGCAGCTATAGCCTTATTCTGCTGCTATAAATGAGCCACTTCATTGAGCTTCATTTGTGGTCAGGTCGCTTCTGCAAAAGATGCAAATAGCTCAGTGGGCTTTACCTGGTAAGAAACAAAATGGTTTAGTTGTATTTGTATATATTTTTGTAAGTGATGTGTTTATCTTTACTTTCCTTTGCACTCCTGTCGTGTTTTTGTATTGATTGTTGCTGTAATGTTCTGACCTGCCCCTACTGGACATCTGTGATAAAGAGCTTTATAGCTCATCGGATTCCTCCAGTATAAATATTTTGCATAATGAACGTTTTTGGGTTAGATGGCATTATTTATAAATGTGTCGTAACCCTCCACCACCCGACACGGCCAATCAGCAAAAAAAGTGTCACGTTGACAAAAGACAAATAGTTCACTACTTTAGCCCACTGGTGTGTTGAAGCGTGAAACCACAACATTTACAATTTTTGAGTGCAAAAAATTGTTAAATAACGCGATCTAACCCAAAAACGTTGATTATGAATAATATTGGTCGCGAAAGCCTACATGTTAAAATAAATATTCTGATTCTGGGTGCTGGCAAACAGCACTTGGCTCCCCAGTTGGGTGGGTGTGTTAAAGGCTACCTGGGGGATCTTTTCCTTTGTGTGCTCAGCCCCAGGATGCGCTGGCGCTGGCTGCTGCGAGCTGCCTCTGTGCGCTGCTCGAGTTCACAAGCGAGCGGAGCGGCCCCGTGGGTGAGTGAAGTGCCTCTCCCACCACCCCCCCTCCCCCCCCACTTGCCATCATCACCGAACACGGTGGCGGTAAGCTAAGCCTGCCCCCCCCCCACCCCTCAAGAATCTCAAGGCCCCCCCACACCCCCCCCGGATTCACTATTGAACTATTAATAAGAAAAATATATTACTTATCAGCTGATATTCTAATGTGAATGAACATGGAACGCTCGTTAGTGGAGTTGGCCAAGCATCGCAGCTATAGGACCACAGAGCTTGGGAAATTGTTGGCGCCGCTCGCGGCTGCCCTGCCACTTGTCTGCCTTCCTGCGCTCCCGTGCGAATATTGGGCCACGGCAATTATTTTACAGCGAGTTGAGGTACCTTGTGCTCGAATAACGCTATTTAAGTATAAACAACTAAGCATCAATAATAACAAGATGATACGCGTAAGAAAGCCGAATAAACTCTCTCATCTATATCTTGCCTGCATCTGTCTCCTTTCATGTCACTCGATTTTCATCTACATTTCTCTTACCTCGGTACGTCTTTATATCACGAAATGTATAACATCCCATGAGGATGTTATACATTTCCTAGCATCCTTTACATGTTCTTTGGACATGTCCTTCCTCCCTCCTCCCCTCCCTGCCTGCCACCAACAGCCAGCCAGCCAAACTTTTTTGTACTATGGAATGGTTTTGCATCGCAAACAAACAGTGATGGCAGAGGGTTGTGGTGTTGCCGCGACACACGAACCCGGCTCCACACTCTGGGATGCGGGTGATGTCGTCACGGAGATGTGCTTGGTGACATCGCCACAGCGCACACTCGCAACTTACCCACACGCCAGCCAGCGCAGCCAGAAAGGCAGCCAGCCAGCAAAGATTTTCTTCTAATATACAGGGACTCCTCTACTTTCAGAGATACGAAGAAACCTGTCCGTATGTCGAGTTGCCTGTTCGGACCTAGAGTCGTAAGTTCAACCGCCGCGCAAAAGAAGGCAGTGGTGTCATCTACATCTGTAGAGCGTCAAGAACCAGTGGCATCTACATCTGCAGAACGTGAAGAACCAGTGGCATCTACATCTGCAGAACGTGAAGAACCAGTGGCATCTACATCTGCAGAACGTGAAGAACCAGTGGCATCTATATCTGCAGAACGTGAAGAACCAGTGGCATCTACATCTGCAGAACGTGAAGAACCAGTGGCATCTACATCTGCAGAACGTGAAGAACCAGTGGCATCTACATCTGCAGAACGTGAAGAACCAGTGGCATCTACATCTGCAGAACGTGAAGAAGCAGTGGCATCTACATCTGCAGAACGTGAAGAACCAGTGGCATCTACATCTGCAGAACGTGAAGAACCAGTGGCATCTACATCTGCAGAACGTGAAGAACCAGTGGCATCTACATCTGCAGAACGTGAAGAAGCAGTGGCATCTACATCTGCAGAACGTGAAGAACCAGTGGCATCTACATCTGCAGAACGTGAAGAAGCAGTGGCATCTACATCTGCAGAACGTGAAGAACCAGTGGCATCTACATCTGCAGAACGTGAAGAAGCAGTGGCATCTATATCTGCAGAACGTGAAGAACCAGTGGCATCTACATCTGCAGAACGTGAAGAACCAGTGGCATCTACATCTGCAGAACGTGAAGAAGCAGTGGCATCTACATCTGCAGAACGTGAAGAACCAGTGGCATCTACATCTGCAGAACGTGAAGAACCAGTGGCATCTACATCTGCAGAACGTGAAGAACCAGTGGCATCTACATCTGCAGAACGTGAAGAACCAGTGGCATCTATATCTGCAGAACGTGAAGAACCAGTGGCATCTACATCTGCAGAACGTGAAGAAGCAGTGGCATCTACATCTGCAGAACGTGAAGAACCAGTGGCATCTACATCTGTAGAACGTGAAGAACCAGTGGCATCTACATATGTAGAACGTGAAGAACCAGTGGCATCTACATCTGCAGAACGTGAAGAACCAGTGGCATCTACATCTGTAGAACGTGAAGAACCAGTGGCATCTACATCTGTAGAACGTGAAGAACCAGTGGCATCTACATCTGCAGAACGTGAAGAACCAGTGGCATCTACATCTGCAGAACGTGAAGAACCAGTGGCATCTACATCTGTAGAACGTGAAGAACCAGTGGCATCTACATATGTAGAACGTGAAGAACCAGTGGCATCTACATCTGCAGAACGTGAAGAAGCAGTGGCATCTACATCTGCAGAACGTGAAGAACCAGTGGCACCTACATCTGCAGAACGTGAAGAACCAGTGGCATCTACATCTGCAGAACGTGAAGAACCAGTGGCATCTACATCTGCAGAACGTGAAGAACCAATGGCATCTACATACGTAGAACGTGAAGAACCAGTGGCATCTACATCTGCAGAACGTGAAGAAGCAGGGGCATCTACATCTGCAGCAGATTATACAACTTTTTAAGCTATTCCCCGTGTTGAGTGTACATGCCTTTCAACACGTTTGGAATCGATAGGAGTGAAGTTGGACTTACAAACAAATCGACCTACGAATAGACCTCTGGAACCTAACTTGTTCGTAAGTAGAGGAGTCCCTGTAGTATGAAAGAGCGCACCTGCTTGGTGTCCCTAGTAGACCCGAACCACCACTGATCAATCAATATTTATTGATATCGCACACTTAACATCAATAAAAGGCGTCTCTGAGCGCTCTACATAAACCTAAGATTTCAATCAGTCAATGTATTTTTTTTCCGCGAAGCGCAATTCATAGGATGATTCAATGTGATCGTATACGTATAATAATATCAAACATTCAATCTAATGAGCATGAAAACATGTATTATATATAGAAACTACATACAGGATGAAGCAAAATGATTAAAGAGTGAGTGCAGATCTTCAACTCAACGGACAAAGCTCTCCCTCTCTAATCTGACGAGGTGGAGAGTTTCACACAGGGTAGGGACCACAAAACGCAAATGCTCGGGCACCCGGGGTCACCGGATGGACCCTGGGCATACCCCGAGCGATCCCACTTCAGCGGAGTGGAGTGAGCGGAGGGGGCAGGAGTGGCGGTGAAGCCCTTGCGGATAATCTGAATGATCCCGCAAGCACGAACACACGAACACGCACACACACACGCCCCCCCCCCCCCCCCGGCTAGTGGATATTCGGCCGTAACGAGGCGCGTTGCTCATGGCTAAGAGCGGCTCCATGCGGGACGCGTAGGCGGTCTCCGCCGTCGATGTGAAATTGAAACATCGGCGGCGGAGGTGGGGGGGGGGGGCAGTAGGGGGCGGGGGGCAGGGGCGAGGATGGGGGGTGGGGGGAATTTTAAAACGACGTGGACTATGAGACATCCGACGTTCAGCGGCGGAGTTAATCGTTCCCGCTCGCTCTCTTGCCAAATTAGTCGTATGCAATGCGGGAGTTGGGTAGAAATAAAAGCTACCGTTCGTTAAGTGCACGTTAAATAAAAACAAATTCGGAATAACAACTAGTTCATCAACCACTCTCCGATGGCGCACAGACGACGGCCTTCATCGTTGCGAGTCGGAGAGAGCGGGAGAGGTCACACGGACAGGGCGGGGACCCTCCTCCTTCGCGCTTTCAATTTACGAAAGAGGCTTCTTCTCTCAATGGGCCCTCTCACTTCGTGTTTAATAAAGGAAATCTATTTGCCCCTTCAATTCCACCCTTGGCTCAATTTTCATCATTCCACAGGCAAGTGTGGGGAGTGCTCAGACTCGTAGGTGGTGTGCGGCAGAGGCGGCCTGCAGCGCCAAGGGGGTCGCTCCCTGGCAAAGCCCCCTCCCCCCCCCCGCCACCAAAGGGTCTTCCTTCCCACTCACTCCTGAACGTGGACTATTTGCAGCCGGTGCAGCGATGATCCATCGCTGCACGCTCGATCTCGCGGATCTCGGCGTCGGTATTCGTTCACCGTCCCCGCTTGTGGTTAGTCCGGCTAACCCCGGTTTTGTGGTTGGGTGTGGTGCCCGCAGCGCACCACCTGGTGTCTCGCGCCTGGTTCCAGAAGCTCCCGAGTAACCTCGCCACCACCGTGCTGATGAGCTGCGGCAACCCGTCCTCGGCGCTGCTGCTGCTGTCCGTGGTACCCGCACGCCGACACGCCACTGCCACGCTACCTTGACACGCACACCCCTGTCACGCCGGTCCTGTGACATCCAATTTGCCGTACCGCCTGGCCACACTTCCCCAACACCCCCCCTACCTCACCCCTACGCCTTACAAACAAACGCGTTCCCTCCCTTGGCTGCAACTCAGTTGTTAGTCTCGACGTCTGTCCATCACTCCTCACGACGTGTTCCGGAGATCGAACAGCTATGCATAGGTTACGGGAAGAAACGTACCGGAACACTTTTGGTGTGAATCGTACATACGTTTTGCGAACAATTGATTTGGCGCACGTATCATGAGCTTACAGGTAAAAACATTTTTAGCGGTGATTTCTCGAAAGCCTTCTCAAGTGAGGGGCTGTGAATCACGAGGGCTCGGTGCTCGGCAGTTGTCGTCAGCGAAAGGGGTTTTGGTGAGGATTCTCTGTGCCGATGGCGTCACTGCCATTCAGCCGGCGTCAGGGGCACCGCTCGTGGTCCCGTGGCCCAGCGCTGTGGAGGCGGCAGCGAGGGTTTGTGGATCATCGCACGAACGTTGTGCAACTGTCTTCCCCTGGGGACGTCGAGGAGGAGCCCTTAACCTTGGCCTTCCTGTACGTTGTAGAGCTTTTGTCCTCCCCTCACACGTGTAGGTTTTCACCGGGTGCTTCAGTTTCCTTCCACAAGTAAACTCATGAATTGGCTAATAACACCGCAGAGCTTCCCGCTCGTCTGTGTATGTACTTGTATTGAACGTCTTTCACACCGTGCGTAGCCAACCATGCCAACCAGAGGTCCGTGGTTCCTCCCCGTGCCTCTGAGTCCTCGCTCTCGACGAGAACGAGCGAACACCGCGTGGCGGCGGCGGCGGCGTTGCCGTCACTGTGTTACAAGTTATTATTATTCGTCAACCCGACGAGCCGGGTCTCCGCCCGTGACGGCGATCGTCGCTCGATGTTGACCAGCGGGTTTCTCTCTCTCCACCACTGGCAGCTCCTGCGGCACGAGGGGATCGGCGGGAGCGGCCCGCTGGAGACGCAGAGCTTCATCGAGCCGCTCCTCCGCCTCGTCCTGCAACGGTCGACCTCCGGCCTTGACCCCGTGACCTGGGACGCCACTGTCGCCCTGCTCACACAGGTTCGGCCTTCTCATGATAATGACTGCCCATGTCTTCAAACCGCCCATTAGCGACACGTTTGTAATGTGTTTACCCGTGCGTGTGCGTGTTGCATGCGTGGTCCAGAGCAGGTGTGTGTGGTGTGGGGAGCGGTAGTGCAGTGGTTAGTGCACTCCGCTACGAATCCGGTGACCCGAGCTCGATTCCGCTCGCGACCAACATCATTGAATATCTGAACGAGTTCTTAGCCTCCACTAGGTCGACTCAGCTTTAAATTAGTACCTGATACTGTGTGTAAACATCAGCATTGGTGGAGACAAAGGTGACCCGATGTGGTGCTGGCCACCCACCCCAATGTGTATCGTGCCGGCCTCAATCGGTTCTCGCGAACAGCACTTGCCCCTACAGTCTGTTAAAGGCTATATGGGCACTCTTTCTTCTTTTCCTGTGTGTGGCCTGTCTGGGTAGCCACCTGGGGCCCAAATTGTACGTGTGTGTAATGCCCATACCAGGTTGTACCAACAATGGTACCTACGTGCGTGATTCTACTCCTGCGTGTCACACACATAGTACCCATATGTGTGTCTGCGTTGGTGCCCATGTGCGTGCGATACCTGTACATGCGGTGCCATGTGGGTGTCCGACTGGCGCCCGGTAGCTGGTGCAAAGTGGACGGGACACTGCTTGGCTTCAGCCTCGCGAGGAATGGCTTCGGATTCTGCGGGACCCACATCCTCACCAGGGCGCCCCCACCGACCTTGTGTATCCTTCACCGCGATGCTGCCCCCCCTCCACTGCCGCCCCCCCCCCCCCCCAACTGTTCACCCACGCCATCCCACGCCAGCCTGCGCACTCCGCCGCACGCTCGCTCGCTCGCTCGCTCCCTCGCTCGGTCCACGGGACGATTATGATTTACATCCGATGGTTAGCCTCCATTAACCTCGTGACCGCCAGCCTTCCTTGTGCATCTGCCTGACGAGATGAAGCAGATTTGACGAAAACAAACGCACGAGGCAAAGGTGAATTGAGATGAATGGGGCCGAGAGGTTTCGTGACATTTTCGCGTGGCTTTGTTGAAGTTGAAAGACTGGAGAGAAAACTCCTTGCGGTAATCGTTAAATAGTAATGGTTCGCAGCAGACTTGAGAATGTACGCAGGTTAGAGACATCGCACCGAACGCTAAGAATGTTAACTCAAAATAAGCATTCGCATCGCTGCGAAGAATGTGATTAAAGTAAACGATCGGACAATACCGCATCGAACCGTGATCCCCATGTCTTCAAATCGACAGTTCAGCCTTGATTCAAGAGAGCCTGACTGCTGCTGATGAGACGCTGTACATATCGAAACCGGTACAAAGTTTGTTTGTCTTGAAACAATGCTGCTAAAATGATGCGCTCGCAGAAGGGCCGTGCGGCCGATGAGTTGCGAACGAATTGGTCCGTGCATTTGCGTAGAACGGTGAAATACGTGAAGGAGACATATTGTGTACATATCGACGTAAGTGGGACGGTTGACTGGTGACGGAGACTAACGACGGAATGGCGGCCAAAAGCGAGAGCACGCCTGAGAGGACCTCCACGATGGAGGGATGATGGAAATGAGAAGTAATGGAATTGAGGAGCGGGAAAACAAGAGGGAGTGATTTTGTGGCGGCAGAGGAGTCATTACGGAATGGAGTGGAGGCGAGTTGGTGGGGACGACGCGGGGATCACGAGGAGTGTCGGGTTTTGCGTACGGAGTGATGAATGTGTGGAGCGGAGCGAAGGTTGACGGCGGAGCGCCAGGCCGGCTCCGCGCCCCGCGACCCGCCCCTCCAGCTCTTGCGCGCTGAGCGAGCGTTTTTCCTGAGCGCCGCCCGCCGGACTGCAGCTCCATCGGCTCCGTCACCGTCTCCCTCCGCCACCTGGCCGAGTGCACCAGCTGCTGCGACGCGGAGCGCCGTGCCGCCCTGCTGCTACCCCTGCTAAGCTAGCGCCCCGCCGCCGTGGATCGCGGTGGGGGGATTGACCCGATCCGGCCGACGGGGCCGGTCAGAATGATCGGTCCGATGACCGTGGGCCGCCGTGCGCCGATGAGTGTCCCCGCATTGTTGCACCAGGTTTTAATTGAAGGCTGAGTTTACCCAGGGGTAGCTCAGGACTGGTTCGGATATCACTCACCGCTGATGTTGCCCCCCCCCCCCCGTCCCCCAAGCGTGACCGTCGCTGACGCATTCGCCCACGTCAGGAGAACAGGCCAAGCGTTTCTGTTGTACATTTGTGGTACGGGTCGAGTGCGTTTGGGTTGTGCGTTTGTGGGGAGCGGTGGTGCAGCGGATAGCGCCCTGCATTACGAACCCGGTGACCTGAGTTCAATTCCCGCTCGCGGCTAAAATCGAATATCTGAACCAGGCCTCCCCTAGTTCAACTCAGCCTTGAATGAGTACCTGGTGCGGTGTGTAAACATCAGCACTGGGGAGACACAGGCGGCCAGGCGTGGTGTTGCCCACCAACGACTCCCTCGTGTGCCATGCTGGCCTTCAAAGGCGCTCACTAACAGCACTTGCTCCAACGTTCCCGCACCTCCGATTACCACGGTTGTCTACATATGGTGCGAAAAAAGTTCAACATCCATACATACATTAAAGGGCTATATGGGGGATCTTTGTGTGTATGTAATAAGTACCTGCAAACAGCAGTCTATAAGGCTGTGTGGTGGATGAGTACCTAGTGCAGTATGTAAATGCCTATGCTGGGGAGACAAAGGTGACCGGGCACCATACTGCCCACACCACTGGCACACTTGCCTTAAAAAGGTGCTCACGAACAATACTTTCCCCAGCAGTCTGCAAGGCTACGAGAGGAAGCTTTGTTTTTATAATCGCGAGCAGAGTGGCGGCACTGTCGGTAGCGCATTGCACGATAATCCCAGCGATCCGAGTTGGATTCACGCCTTCAGATCATATCAATGGCAAGTGTTATCAACAATTGCCCTGACCTTCCCCTAGGTGGACTCAGCCTAAAACGGGTTTAAACATCGACACTGGGGAGACAAAGTGGGTCGGGTGAGTTTTCTGGCCACAGTTGTGGCCTTAATAGGTGCTATTTAACAGCACTTGACACAGCAGCTCTTTGTGCTAGTATTACTGTTTGACACTTCAGATTTCGCCAAGCCTGGCACAAGTACTTTTGTGAACACCAAATCCGGCGCAAATGGTTGGTTCTATCGTTGTTGTTGTTGTTGTCGTTGTTGTTGTTGTTTACCTTTCGTGCAGTTAATAGTGGACCTAGCCTTGCACAACGAGTCCTGGTGATGCTTTAGCACACGTTGTTGAAAATGGCTCCCGTGTTTTCGTTCTCGTTTAAAAGTGCACCCAGCCTGGCACAACTTAACCTCATGATGAGTATGTCATTGGGAAAATGGCTGCTGCTGCTGCTACCGTCTTGTTTTCACCATGACGTGTCATGCTGATTCTCGCAGTGCTTCGGTGAATGGCCGCGGTTTCATTAAAATAAAGTTTCATCTATACTTAGTAGTTAACCAGCTGAGAACTCAAGATCCCACGATAAGAGTTCTCATTTGCAGGAGCGACCCGGGGAATTGGCAGTAGTGGGCGACGATTGGCACGTGTAATCCAATTTGAATAATTGCGCCGATTTTTGTTGAATTTTGACACATTTTGGAACGTGACACCGGCACTTAACGGGTTACTCTTCGCGAAAGACGTCACAGGATCCTTTAACGTCCGCTGTGAAGTAGACGATGCGTAGTATTATTATTATGGTTATTGCATCCGCAGTATTAATCAGGGCGGCCACTGGATTTGAACCGTGGACCTCTGCAACATGCGGCGAACGCGCTACCACTGTTGCAGCGTCACCGCCACATCAACTTTTCCGTGTTGAGGTGGCTGGGTGGGTCAGAGGTCAGAGACAATGAGCCAGCACCGCTGAGAATCCTGGATTTTGTAATTGTGGCTTCAGCCAATTGCTGTAATTAAACTGGGTTCTCAAGTGCAGTGAGTTGATGGTCTCAGGCCAGTCACTAAAGGACTGCACACACAAACGAAAAATCCCACGTTAAATTTGGTTCTGCACTTAATTTGACTGAATTCCAGCAGTGAAATTGAAAAACATCAGTTGGACCGTTTAGCAAAAACGAACATTTGTCTCAGCGGCTGGACAGGTGAGAAAGTGCCGCCCTCGCTTAGAAGGGCTCTATGCTATCCGTTTCCGGGGATAGCGTTGTTCACGACACTCACCACCACTCCCCCCCCCCCCCCCCGATACCACAATCGGGATAACTATTGGAAATAAAACTTGTTTTTGTCAGGCTTCGGTGTGTTTCATCTTTAAAGGGAGCACACGAGACGTGCTGGCTCAGGCAAGGAGCCAGCAGCGACGCCGATGCCACACATTGAATCTGGAAGCTTTAAAACGGATTCACAAAGTGTTACCCAACGATTGTGAGCCACCTTTTGATCCACGTGGAACGAGGCACTTCGAGAAAGGAGAGGCGCTGGTTGATATGGCTGGTTGCTTATGAGTGGGGGGCGCGGGGGGGGGGGTATGCACAGAGCTCAGTGCAGAAATGTGTTTGTTCAATGCACAGCATTTCAGACTTGTTCAAATCGCCGTCAGTCATGGTGAATCTCCGCCGCTGGACGGCTGACGATGGTTTGAATGATAACATCCGTAAATGCATCCGCTGCGGGAGGGAGTCCTCCCCAGTCCCGCAGGGTTCCGCGATGCGACAATCCCATCTGCCCGCACGCGAGCTGATTTAATCGCTCCATCTCTTCATTGCACGCGCTGTCGGGCACGTTCCGTCCTTTTTTGGCTACCGAAAGATTTCCTTCGGGGGAAAATGTTCACCGATATGAAGATGTTGCCGTGTTTCAGTGGTCATTAATACTCAACAAATCACCGTGGTTTGTAATTATCGTGTTGGTATAAAAACTGTTTTACTTTCACCCTCCACCACCCAACAGAATCAACATAAACGAATTATGTATCATGATATTGGTTGTGAAAGCCTACTTAGAAAGTTAATAAATTTATCAAACGTTGTTTTCTTGCTCTGTGATTGTTTCAAGCCCTCTTCAGCCAAATGTTTGGTCCATTTGGGTGACACAGGAGGCGGACGCTATTATCAGAATCACTGCACCTACACCACTGGCGAACCTGAGTTCTAGTCCAGGCTCAAAACTCCGACAATGAACCCTGGTTTGTCAAGTGCAGCGAGTTGATTGATGGTCTCAGCCCAGCCACCAATGAAACGAAACAAAAAAAAGAAATCCCCATCTCGTTAAGTTACATCATTCGCCTAATTAAACTTGTTCCAGTGGTCAAGGATTAGAAAATTACTGTCATGTGAAGGGGACGTCTATAGCAGAGCTTATGAGAAGGTGGCACCACCACCACCTAATGTGTGGGTTAGAGGCAATAGCAGAGTCCTCGGAAATAGATTCTTTAAATGTCATCTTCCAGAGGCCGTCTGCAATAGCTCCGATTGGAAATGTGTTCGTGTCTAAAACATGGCGGGGAAAACACAAATCATGCAATCAAGGGGCAAATCAAATCCTTTTTTTAAATATATACAATCGCCTTTGATCAACAGTGAAAGTAACGAATGTCCTGATGATTGCATGAGCTATTATTAAATACAGCGGTCATGCATTCATTCACACGCTGGTCTCTTATTCACACTGTTGTGTTCACGTATTCAACCATTCACCCATGAAGTTACGAATTCACTCCATTTACTCATTCAATTGCTCACCATTAACTTTATTCATGCGTTGCATCTCTTGTTCATCCGTTGACTCATTCACATATGTTCATTCGATTGCACGTTGATTCATGCATATATGTATTCACGCACCTGGCCATTCACATGAGTAATTCGCTCGCTCATCCGTTCACGTGTTTCTTCCATTTTTTCACTCATTCCATTACCCACTCACTCGCTCCCCTCTTTCACTGTGGGGGGGGATGGGGGGTCCATAAAACACCACACACGCACCTCAGAGTCGTCTCAACAGTCGCACGCAGAGCGCGGCAAAAACCCGGCACGGAGCGGTGACGCCGGTCGGACCTGGAGCCTCGATCCGTGGGCCGCCAGCCCTGAAAAAGGGGTTTCCACAGAGAGGGGGCAGATGCTGCACATTACGGGGCGAGCGAATGGGCTGGGTCCAAGCCCAGCGAGTTCGTTAAGTTTCCTGGCGAGGGCCTCGCACTGCAGGGGAACAGATGCCGCGCGATGTGCCCGCCCCTCGTTGGTCGCGGGGTCCGGTGGTGCTCTGACCGCGGAGTTTCGCACGGCCACCGCGAAGCTGTTCACGTGCGGCCGGACCGCTCGCTGGCTCGGTCGCCGGCCTCGACGTGAAAGGATGGTACAGGCTGCAGATCAACTGTTTGCCCGCGTTTCGGTTCAATGGGTGTCCTATGCGAATACATATACACACACATTGAGTACCTGGTGCGGTGTGTAAACATCGCCACTGGGGAGACAAAGGCGGGGTCGGTCGTGCGTGATGTTGGCCACCCACCCCCTCGTGTACCGTGCCGGTCTTCATAGGTGCTCGCTAACAGCACTTTCCCCAACAGTCTGGTGAGGCCATATGGGGGATATTTATCTTTATATAAAACAACACCAAACACGCTCGTCAATTACACTATGGCCTTCAAAAGAAAACTTTATAAAAATCAGCGACGTTTTGGGTAATGGGCCCTTTTCCGCAGCTCATAGGCCAAAGCGGTCGAGTGTCATTGATTCATCTGTGCGTGAGGTCTATGAGTCTCTTCGAGTGTGGGTCTCCATGCCAAATCTGCGAGTCGCTGAGTCTTACGCATGTGCGTGTTGAGTCTATGGTTTCCATGGGTGTCTCCTTAGTCTGTGCATCTCCACCGTGAGTCCTTGGCTCTCCATGTGAGTGGATCTCAAACCACGGACCACAGTCACCAGCAGCGTTTCAGACGTTCACCACGTGGCTGTCCCCCGGCTCACCCACCAACCTCGACACGTGCTGACCAAGTCGGATCTCTGTGCGAGTCTGTAGCTCTCGTGTAAGTCCATCAGTGTCCACCTGAGTCTGGATGGGGTGGGATGTGGGCCAGGTCGTTTGGCCCACGGGGCCTGAGCAGAGATTGGTAAAAAAAAAATTACCCAGAGGTAGGCAACGTTTTTAGTGGTCCCTAAATTGTTTATACGGCCAATGAAAGTGAATCACAACGGGAGTTTTAATTAGAGGTTGTAGGAATCGCTTCGCTTGTAACGATAGAAGAGCGTTTTATCTTATTCACGGCGCCTCCAATGCATTCGTTAAAGAATGGCAATTTTACAATGCACAAGAAAGCCTTGGGGAGTCCCGGTGCTTATTGTTTCAGGATGGTCCTACATTTGAAATGTTTGGCCAGTTCTTTAGAAGCAGCGGTTTCTTAAGCGAGACGCGAGATGCATTGTTTGTTGTGGGGTGGTCACTTGGCCCCAGCGGTAGCGCGTTCGCCGCTCGAACCGAGCGGCCGTCCTGGTTAATACCGCGGGGTGCATTGACTTTAAAACTTCCCGTGACGTCATTCGCAAGAGTGGACCATCGTGTACCAGTGCCGTGATCCAAATTTTTCCTCATTTTAAACAGTACCCGCAAAATTACTCAATGGGAATCTACATGGCGATCACCCCCCCCCCCCCCCCCCACTGCAAAGACTGGGCAAAGACCCTCCTAGAAAAGAGTAATGAGACTAATTGTGGGATTCCTGGCTAAATGAGCATAACGATCAGAATAAATTAAATGGGACGTGATTTTTTTGTTCAACGTCTGTCATCTCCTGGTCACCTCGCAGCCCTTGCCTGGTATAGGTATTCCCACTCCGTCTCCAATCCAAGCACTAATAACCAGGCTCACCCATGCTTAGTTTCCGATATCCAATCCTTGCTAAATGAGCATAACGATCAGAATAAATTAAATGGGACGTGACTTTTTTGTTAAACCTCTGTCATCTCCTGGTCACCTCGCAGCCCTTGCTTGGTACAGGTGTTCCCACTCCGTCTCCCATCCAAGCACTAATAACCAGGCTCACCCATGCTTAGCTTCCGAGATCCAATGACATCGGGATTGTGGAATTTCCATCATTTGCTCCGGATCGCCTTGCGTCTCGTGTGGGCGCAGGGAGACCCATGTAAAAGAGGTCAAGGTTCATGCAGCCTTGCAATTGCTTGCTCATTCCACCGTTGGCAGAAGGGGCCTTCACTAGATGGTTATCGAGAGCCCCCTCCAGAGGGTATTTGGCCTACTCTTCCACGCTGGGCAAACGTCTTTAGAAAGAGGTGGGAGTATCCTCACTCTACCCCACCGCATACGATCTGCCCATCACAAAATCGTGGTGTAAACCCATTTATAACAAAGACTGCCGGGTGGGACGGAGGCGGGCTGAGGATTTTTAAAAAAATCCCAATTATTTCAACTGCCACGCCGGCAGATCGAACCGGCGACCTCTGCATTGCAGGTGCAGTAGAGCCCCAGCGTAAGGGAGACTGCAACGCGATATTGATCAAAGCGCCGCGCTGTGGGGCTCATTGAGCGCACCTCGCTAAAGAGAGCAATATCAATCGATCGATGAGGGCTGCAAACCATAACCTTTGTCTTTATCAAATTAGCCCCACGCTGGAAATTGAAAGTGTCAATCCGGCTCGAGTGCGTGATCTCTACGGGAGACACCGCCACCCGCCCTGTCATCATGCGCCATGGTCACTACCCACGGCTGGATGAAGGCTTCCCTCCACCCAAGCCGTCGCTGCCGCCGCCACCGACAAATCTGACGATCCCGCGGTGCAACAATCCATCGACAGCAGCTGGCCGTACAGGAGATGATTTCATGGCTCCCATCTCCCCCCCGCAGGCCAACGTCTCGGACCCGTTCCATTCCTTAGCCGCTACTACCCCTCCGCTGTTACTCTTCTCAACCATCGGGTCATCGTCCCACCTAGCCACGGCGTGTCCTGCTCAAAGCCAAGACTTTTTTTTTTCCCATCGTAGTTTTTAACGACGTCTTTAAGCCGCGAATATTCTCTTAATCCGCGCGTTCCCTCTTGCTGGCTCCGAATGTAATTCCAAAGCGTGCCCAACCCTCGCCTGCGCGGGAGACCAAGACTACTTAGCTGGCACCTTTTGCCAACAATGGGGCATTAACAGCGACCACGACTCGGTGCTCGTGTCTTGATGGGATTGCCAGATTGCATCACGCGCGTGTCTCGTCGACGGTGCCACGCGCGCGCGTGCCCGAGTCAGGAACACGAGGCTTCGGTGCGCGTTCACGTTACGGCCTCTGCTGCCAATCCGCTACCTGAATTCGGCTCGTGGTGGGAGGGGGATGAAGGGTTGCTATTGGATCATACTTCATCAGTGTGGGCTTTTGATGGGGTGCTGGGGGGGAGGACGTCGAGACGTATCGTCCACACGTCTCGCCTCCGCGTGTCCCCCTCGTTCGCGTCCCTGTCTCCACGTGTCTCCGCGTGTCCAACCTCGTAATGTCCCCCTTGTCCCGTAGTCTCCGCTTGCCTCTCCTTGTCCTCGCTCGTGTCCCTCTGTTCCCCGCGTGTCCCCGCGTGTCCCTCTCGTCATCGGTGAGCGTCCCCTCGTCTCCGCGTGTCCCCGTGTCTCGCGAGGTGACGGCTGCATCGCTAAACAGGAGCGCGCGCGCGCATGAGCGATCAAAAAAAAAACCGAGCTACTGACTCCTGGGGGCCGTTCGCGACTCGTTTGGCCATCTGTGCCGTGTAGGGGCTGAGGCTGCTACTGCTGCTGCTGTTGTTGTTGTTTAGTGTTTGTTTAAAGTCTGGCTGCGCTGCTCTGTGCAGGGAAAGCGGCGAAGGGGCATCTGCCCCCCCCCCCCCCACCCGCTTCATCTCGCCCATTAACCCATCTCTACCCCTTCCTCGTGCCCTACCCGGACTTGATTTGCAGTGAGTGGATTGAGCACCCCCCCACCCCCGAGGAAAAGGAGGGGGGGCTAGTCCGCGTGGCCGAGAC